CAGCTAGTCATCACCACCCACTGCCAGCTCTTGGGCTACCCTTTTACCAACGAATAGTGGGACTGACCGTCACATTATAAGCCCCCCACGGCTGAAAGGGCGAACATGTTTGGTGGGATAGGAATTCTAAACCGCGACCCTCAGATTACGAATTAAGCGCCCTAACCACTTGGGCATGGCCAGGTGGTTAAGGCACTCGACTCGCAATCTGAGGGTCGCGCGTTCGAAAACCTGTCACACCAAACATGCTCGCCCTTTCAGCCGTGGGGGTGTTATAATGTGACGGTCAATCCCACTATTCGTTGGTAAAAGGGTAGCCCAAGAGCTGGCAGTGGGTGGTGATGACTAGCTGCCTTCCCTCTAGTCTTAAACTGCTAAACTAGGGACGGCTAGCGCAGATAGCCCTCGTGTAGCTTTGCGCGAAATTCAAAAAAACAAAACAAAACAAACCGGACCGTTATCTTCGGAATTTAAAACTTTTGAATTATTACTATTGTTACTTCGTGCTTTAGAACTTGGTCACAGAAACTTAAGTGGTTATGTAAAAAAAAAAATTAGCGTTTCAGGTGTGTACGTTTATTTCCATCAAACTGCAATTTCTCATAGAAATCATTTTCTTCTCATTTACTCATAACTTATAATGCTTTAGATTAAAGGGGTATAAGAAAAATATATGAACATTTTCTTTGCTTATCGATCTTTTGACAGCTATAATTTCCTACACCTATATCTCTTAGCCAAACAACCGATATCCCTAATAATTCTCGTTGTTTGTCTAACAGAACATGACTATTGCGTCTCTAACTTTATCGCTTATTTGTAGTTATGGATCAGTACATAACATGACCATCATGGTTTTGCGTCACACGTTTTCTCTCTCTCCTGTTTATTTATCATCAATATATATTAAACATAACCTAGATATTATAAATGCGCTAAAGGAGTCTTATGTTATTAAAACGTCAAGAAATACGATATATATTTCAAATCACTTCAGTTTTCCATCTTCGTTTCCTCGCAACTAAATGTCAAGGCTGTGTTATAGGCTTGCATAACGCAATACCAAACGATAACGTATAGCCCTAAATAAATGCTCACTATCTCTATAATAGATACATAAATTACACTTTAGAATAATAATTGATCTTCAGAGTATTTATGCACAAAGATGTTATTAAATAAATTAAGGAATTGTCATAGCTGCCAAATATTTAGCAGCTATGACAGTTTTAGTTAGCTGTGACTAACTAAAAAAGGAAAACTAACCTTTTTTTTTTAGACAGGAAAACTCACACCATGCCGTTTTTTTTTACCAGTGTTAAAGAGAGAATTACCGAAAACAGGAAATATTCTGTAACTGAATATCAAAATCTGTAGGCTTCCGTACATTTTATATATAAAAAATAGTTACTAGCTTAATATTATATACTATTGGCATTAGGTAATGATTTAAGTGCAATTATTGGCTTCCTTATGTCAACAAAACTAGTACGTGTTATAAAAATACCAAGTTATCTGCGGTGTGTGTATACGAGCATAAAAGTAGTGGAAATTAAAGAATTTTTTACTTATTCACATGTCACTCTCTCTTTTAACACAGAATTTCTTCCGCAACCAGAGGCGAAGTAGTGTTTTGAGTAGTAGGGCAAAGAACAAGAAATTCCAGTAATTGTACCTTGTAGGTGTTGCATAAACCGTTGGAAAGACCAGAGTTTGTTGTATCTAAATATGCAATCTATATTATGTTAAGGTATTTTGGTTGGGCGTTATGAGCAGTTAAAGAAACACGGGGTTTCAGAGTGTCACATGCACCAACTGATTATTAGTGGCTCAGCGGTAGGCCTGAAGATTTATAACGCTAAAAACCGGGTTTCGATACCCGTGATAGTCAAAACACAGACAGCCATTTGGTTAACTTTGTGCTTAATGACAAACAAACAAGGAATGCAACTGCTTATCTCTTATTCGAGTCTCCAATCAAATCATGCAAGTTTGAGTTTGGAGACCCTGTTCTTAATATTTTGATCCGGCGAAAGGTTAGTACTACTACTGTTCTTGATTGCAACAAACCTAGTTTTGAGCGCCGTGACAGCATCTTTGGGTTTGATTGATGGATTTG